TTATTATCAATTACTTATTAGTCAGTAATTTAGACTAAACGCACAAAGACTATAATTTAGTTAAAGATGTTTAGTACTTCACTGTAAATAACAATTGAAATATGTTTGTGTTTTCAAAATAAATACATATTTCAAAATAAATATCTTATGGCCTAACTGATGTCAAATTACTACAGCTCAAACATGGGCTGGCTCGACCGGGGAAGTAAAACCCTCTTATATAAGATCGACCTGAACTAACCTTTAATGGCTGCGTTTCGTTCGATGAGTGACAGAGCCAGTTGCCCTTTCCCTGCTCCCACCCTTTCCATTTTCCCATCCTTCCCTCTCCCTCTTCCCCAATCAAGAGCAACGCATCCGAAAAATACTTTTACGGATATCCATCGGCAACGGTACTACCTCCGTCCTCCGTCTGCTCGTTTGCCCCCTTTGAAATATAAAAAAACTATATATTTCTTTCGCATCACGTCATTATAAAGTATTTTAAAAAAAGATCTAAATTAAACTGTAACACAATAAAAATATAAAATATCATAGTAAATTGTGGAAAACTCAATAAGAGTTCATTAACAATTTGGATTTACAAAACCGATGTTCTTATAATAAAGAACCAAAATAAAAAAAACGTTCGAGTAAATTGTATTTTGTTTTTCGTGAAAAATTGTGGTACCTGACATAGCAACTAGAAAAACCCTTTAGTAACACTTGTAAAGATATGCTTTGACAGAAAAGAACTTTTAGTTTAAAAGTAAAAAACAGCTAAAACATTAAAATTTGTAGGTACTATGCACACAAATTAATCAAGTCAGTAATTGGTCTTAAGGTATAAGATAAATGAAATAAATATTATAAAGAATCTAATAAAAGCAAAACAAACAAAGATGTCAAAGCTGATTGCAATTGATTATATTGTAATTTTTTTATATTAACAAATATCATACCGACAAAAAGTGCGGGAATATGTATATATAAAATTTTTATAACTGGCCATTTACGAAAATGGCTAGTGAAAAGTTTTTTAATATCAATTTTAGAACTCTTTGGTAACCTAATGTAGTATATTGCTTTCCTGTCTCATTTGATTTCGTGAATTGGAGGCAAATCTAAAACTCTTGTTACCCGTGAAAATGAACCTTAGATGGGAAAATTTTCAGTCAATGACTTATTATGATGTTCGTTGTGGGTTCACTCAACAATAAAGCTATGATAAGCTGCCATTGGCATTATTTAAAGAAGCTCTAGATCGTGCCACTATTTACAATTGGTTTAACCAGTATATGTGTGGACATAACAATCTCAATGATGATCTGCGTGTGGGACGTCCTTAAATAGCAACTACTAAGGATAACATCAGCACTGTGCAGCACATGATAGAAGAAGATAAAAGAGTGACCTATCAGCAATAAAACCCAAACCTAGGCGTTGATATGAGTCACGTTGAAAACATGTCACACAAACATATAGGCGTCTTTAACCGATGCGACGATCAGAAAAAACTTCGCATGAACTGGTGTCGCCAAGTGTTCGATAAGTTAAACAGCGTTGAATCAAATGCTGTATTTGACATCGTCACATGTGATGAAAGCTAAGCCAAGCTATTAAGAACCCGAAGCTGAACGAAAATCAGCTCAATGGATGTTGATCTTTGGGGATCGGCCAACTAAAGATGATTGCCTCATTCTTTGATCGAAAAGGTCATTTCACGACAGTTGTGCTAGAAGATGGAAAGACAGATACTGTAGACTGGTATGTCAATTGCTGTTTACTTGTTATCTTTGAAATAAATTTACAGCAGCGCCCTCGAAACGGGATCCCCCTTCAGCAAGACAATGCTTCAGCGCACTCCGCAAAATGGATTGCTGAATATTTTATCATGGCCTATCGAGATAATGAGTCCTTCGCCATACAGTCCTGACCTTTAGCCCTGCTATTTTTATTTATTTCCAAGAACTGAAGATAATATTCGAGGTATTTGCCTTACTAGCCCTGAAGATGCACTGTAACCCAACGAAAATGCCACAGAAGAGACCCCTAAAGAATGGGCCCACTGCTTTTCTCAGTGGTTCCATCAAATGCAACGATTTGTAGAGAGGAACGAAGATTACTTCGAAAAACAATAAATGTATTAGCAACTTTTTACATTAAGCCCTTTTTCATTTCCTAAAGATTTTCAGTGTTACCTTGGTATACATATTATATCTTATATCGAATATGTAAACGCTTATTATTATATGTAAATGGCTTTCCCTACTCTCAAGTTTTATGAATCATATAAGTTAGGACTGTGTTATAATGAATACGTAAAATGATTATTTTGGTTATAACATAATAAGTTGTAAAGGATATTATACAAAAAGGGAGTTTATATTTTTTCTATTCAAATTTCACATTCGTAACATTCACATATAATAACAAAGGCATATTTGTATCCAAATGGCGTTCATACCTCCGTTGTCTTATTTTCTTGATATCATTTTAAGATGAGGATGAATGTGGAATGATAAATTTAACTAATATACATTCCTTTATAAGAAAATCTTTTTGTAAAGCTAAGTATAAACACCATAAAAACTTTTCGGTAGCTTTTATTGTCTGTTGTTAGAAGATCATATAAATTAGTCTTACACAAATTCGACATGAAGATTAGATTTTTAGATTCTTGTTATATTTTTTGTTTAATTAAATAGCCAAAACTTATATCATACACCTCATAATACACTATTTAAGTCGGCAATGTTTTAGTGTCTTTTTTTTGTTTTCAGTTATTATATGTAATACATACATATTTATAAATATACTATTTTAATCATTAACCTATTACTACTATATATTTTTTCTTAGCGAATTTATAATTAAAGTATTTTAAAATATTTTTTCATTATTTAGACGAGAAAACGAAACGTTATGTCTGACGAATTTCTAACAGATAAAAATAGTTTGAATTAAATTAAATATTTAAAAAAACAATAGTTTTAAATGTATAAAATTTAAATTGAAACTACTGCTTAGGTGGTGAACCATACATTTGAATTCATAGGCTTAATGTAAATGTTTTTTTTATTTATATGCTTAAATAATATTTCCATAGTTTAATCATTTTAGTTCGCCTAACTTACATTCGATAAGGAAGCGGTTGTTTTGAATTGTTGAAATGCAGTTTTAATACAGATTCGTGAATGGATTCTCTCATATTAAATTATTTATGTCAACATCTGCTTTTGCTATGCTCTAATTAAATCAACATTGAGCGTTGATAACATGCATATAACTATGCGGATATCGATTTGTTGATTGAATGATTCACGTTCATACCAAAATTACTTTACACGACCAATAATATTTGTTCAACATTATTTTAAAAGAATATAGTAGTATACTTAAATTAATGGTATAACCAAAAGTAGAAATATATATGTATAGATAAAGATTTCGTAATTAAATCACAGTTAATTTTGTTCATGGAGGAAACACAATACTATTGTAGAAATGAGTTGGATTCTTGCCAATGATTATTCTAATAATATGTATGTTAAGATTACATTAGATACATTGGTTAGGTAATATTGTTAACAATATCTTAAATAAGCTGTCCATTTAATGTACAAAGTCTTAATGTCAACCGAATACTTTAAAAGTTGTTAGACAATATGAATGTAAAATTATCGGAACAATTTATCTTCGTATTGTGATATAACATATTCAAATGATGCATTTGGTTACACGAGAGGACAATGGTCAGGTAAGGATGATCGATCGAAATACAAAGGCTTGTTTGAGATAACTTTTGTGTGGGAAGCACTTAGTACCATCTACATGTCGAACCATCGATGGCAAAACGATGTATAATACGGTTTTTATATCTTTGAAATGCTTATTCTCTGGGTTAAGAGAAGCATTACACGTAATGCATCTATATTTATAACAGTCAGTAAACGACACTTTCTTTGCTGATTCACAAAGATATTAAATTTTATTACAATATTTAGCAAATTATTTAATTTCTGTTTAGCCATTATATAAAATTTTTAACTCATGGGAAACTTGCATTAAAAACTTAGCTTAGATATAATATTCTAATTGGTGTTGTTTCTAAAATCATAGAATAATTTAATTGATTTGGATCGTTACAATTTATCATAAATTAAAAGATGAAACTGTCATGTTTATTAAAAGAATATAATAAGTGTTAAACATATATATATTAAGAATATTAATGTGTGTCGCATATTAAATGAACATCAAAACGTTATGCTAAAAGGGTAACTGTAAAGCCGAGTAAGGTAATAATAACATTTCGCGTGGACATCTAGCGGTATTCGAACGTTAAGGTGTACTCGCCTAAAATTTATGATCCTTTTTATAAATCTTAATCTTTTTCCCTAACAACTTGTTTTTGTGCATGCCAAGTTGATAGTTAGTCTAGAATAGGAACGGATTCGTCATTTCAGACAAAGTTAAAAGATTAGTGACTATTTAAAAAAGAGAACATGAATTACAATTCGTTTTTAAAATGATATTTAAAGGATACTTGTAATACTGCCTAACACATTTACAAATACCTATATATCGAACATTCAGTTACATATTTCAAAACCACTGAGAAAAGACCGTCATATGAAGCTCTTTGGTCATAACTTTATCCTTAACGGCTTTTACATCATATTTACATTTTATTCGTCACCCGTGGTATCTTACTTGTATTTTCATTAGACATGTAATTTTATTTATATTTCTTACATTATCTTAGGGTCGCTCGTAAAGAGGGCATTGACTTAAAGATCTTTGAACAAGATTCGGTTGGTTAAAGTATGATACCAATAATTTTAAAAGAACAAATCCAAAAGGTTTTTGGTTAATATTATAAGAATTTGATGAATGTGTTCAAAAAGTCTAAACAAGTGTCCTCTGATTTTGATACGAAATATGCTAGTAAATATATTTTGAATAAAAGTGTGTAGATAAAATAAACAGCAAAAATTCCAAAAATCTATTATTTGTAATTAAAATTTATAAACTTCATAACTCTGCTCTGAGCTTTCGTCTTCATTAACGTCTTCTATATGAATGATTTTCTCAACGTTTTCATTAAACGTCACAACAGATTTCCTTGGTTGTCTCATTTCACCGTATTCGTCATTATCATCAGACTCGTCATTGCCATCTTTTAGCTTATCTATTGATTGTATTATAATAGGTAATTGAGCATCACTTGATATGTTAACAATAGCTTCATCTAATGTCTCATTTGGTTCTTTAATATCATCTGTTTCAGGATCGAGTTGATTTTCAACCGGCCCTTCTAACATTTCTTGTAGCCTCTTCTCACTCCTTTTTATTTCCTCCATATTGAGACGTGTTTTCTGAGGAACTTCAATAACAGGAAGCTTGGGTGATGCTAATTGGGAAGTTGTACTGTTGCTATCACTGAATCTCTCGTAGTTTCTTGTTATTCTCCTAAAAATAATTGCAATTAAGGACATATTTTTTAAATTTACATAGTTAGGTGTGGTTAAATTTACCATTTAAGGAAGAACAATACAGCTATCGCTATAATTAAAATAAATATCAGGATAGATAGTGCGATGGTTATAGCTAGCAGGACTATATCACGTTCCACTCCGGGACATATGTCAAGACTGTCAAGATGATCTTCTAAAGATAGAATCCTGGCTATTGTGATTGTAGCTACGTTATTATTGTTAATATCTCTGAAAAATGTTTGATTATATTATATTATATTTATTAATACAATAGAAACTGCATTTTGAATAAATGTATGACTGTAAAATACTATTATTTTAATTACCCGGTCAATTGATTTATGTCTACTGGTTCACTTTCCTTTAAACCATAAACATATAGTTGCAGAGATGATCGGCTATTACTAGATAGGTCTCGTTTCGTTCTATTGGATTCTTCATAGCTGTCAGATATCACAATAGATCTTAAAACCTTTACGTCGTATCCCACCGAATTACTCAAATCATTTAAAACGTTAGATTCATCCTCCAAGAATGCGTTTCTTATAGTCAGGACGGCAATTTGATTTTTATTTAATAATTTAACCTGGAAAATGTTCAATGAATTACACAAGGGTAAAACTGTAAATAATATGAGATTTTAAAACAGTGGTTGTCGAAAATGCTGTTAACTTCACAATAAATAAACACATTATGTAAACAGCTAAGGTCAGCCACTCATGTGTTGGTAAACATTGTTCATTTGACCTTATATTTTAAAAATACAACATTTTAATTCCTTGGGGTCGAGAGCCTACTTTTGTGATTTATGTATATAATATATATTTTTACATTTTATAGATATAAAATAACAGAAAATTTCATTGACAACTTGACAATTATTCCAGTTGGTACGGACTCAAATCTATATCTATAAATATAAGTAAAAACATCTATCTAATTTGATTTCGTCTGTGTATAAAATAATTAATCCTTATATACTCATAAACATAAAATATAAGCTTAAATGTTTGGAATAAGTTTAATATAAAATATACACAGAACTACAACTCAACATAAACATTATGAAGACAGGTATTGTAACATGAGTTTAGTTTTATTAAGTGATTACAAAAGAACATAAAAGTAAAAAGCGCCCCCTCTAAAAGTAGTACGACTCGCTTCGCTAGTTTTGATTCGATCAATTTAGTAAGTCTGTGGAAATGTTTGTAATATGGACTAACGACATCCGAGTTCAAAAGTGACTTTTTAGTTGAATAAATTTTATAAGAAACAAGTTTCTAATACAAGATGTCGTTAAGTTACCGCTACTAGAAATGTAGTTCAGCAAACTTTTAATGGCTTTTATTAACAATCGTTGTGATAAATAAATTCATATAATGATATATTATTCCGTCTCATAATTCCAACTTAGCTTAAATAATATATAAATAATTTATTTAGTTTAATAATTTCGATAAATCTGAGCTAAAAATACATCATATATTTTTACAAAAGTACATTGAGTATGCTTGTAAGAAGCTGCTATGGACATATATAAAAAGGAACGAGCTAGCAAGGGAAACTTAAAACGAAAAATACATATTAAGTTCGTCTAGACTTAATTCAATAAATATTTACCACAATATCTATAGAGCCGTTGTTCCCTTGTCCGTTTTGGTCGATAGCATATACTGTTAAACGGGAATTGTTTTCCAATTTTGCGTTATTGCGAACGTGAACTAAACCGGTATTTGGTGAAACGGCCAGATTGTCTTCCCCGCTCCAATACATTATGCCTGCATTTTCTCCTATATCCTCATCTGTCGCCTGTGAAATATTAAAAGAGGTAGACATTTATCGCTTTAATAGCGTAGACGGTGAAAATTTCGTTGCTAAATGTGCAATATAAAGTGCACGTTCTATTATTACATTATCTTTTAAAAACTATTGATAACTTATTGTCATTAAAATCTGATTTTTAGTAACTAAGCTCCTTCAAAAAGTTTTCAAAGGATACAAATGTAAATATAAAGTAGTTGTTTTTTAAATACAATGCGTTGCAGGTACGAATGTCAACATTATTATTCTGACTAAACCGCTGGCTGTATTGTTACGGAATGAGGTTAGAGTAATTCTCGTAAATTGTACTTCTAACGAGTTTAAATAGCATTTTTACATAGTAACTTATAGAAGAGGTCATTATTTTATAGTATGATAATATGTAGCCTGACACTAAATGACAAACTATTATGAATAAGTTTTATTATCCGTTGCAAATATTCATAAAACTTTAAGTTTTCTATGTAAAACGATATGTGCTTTATATTAAATATCACAAACATTAATCATTAACTAAATAAATATATAAAAAAATTAATAATAAATATAGAAATTAGCGTCATCATTACAATCCGTATTCGAACTTGTAATCTTTGGAATAAGGCGTTAAAGTTGTTTTTCCATTTAAAAATCGTATCTTTACTCTTGTCAGTGAATAAAGTATTCAATAAAATTAACCGTCTTATCAAAAATTAGGTGCCTTTTATTAGGTTTTCTTAAGAAAATCCTAATGAATGCTATCTAACTTTGTAAATTATGTTTACATAATTTCACAAATTGGTTGTTGGTGGTGACATCTGTACAATGTTTCTTGTATACTACAAAGTTTATATTTAATTTAAGTAGTAGACCAACATTAATGTTAAAATACAGTTATAATTGAATTTGATATTAAATTCTTTACTAGAAGTATCAGTAGGGAACTAATAATACTCTAGTTGACTAAAGTCAAAATCCCTTTAGCTTCGTTTACCTCAAAATAATAATTAATAAATTTAAATACACATCATCTGGTTATACCATATATAATTTTTGGTTCGCCATCTTTGGATATCTTCCATAATAGTTTTTAAATAAGGTTACTTCATTTACCATGTATTGTCATAAAAATGTTGACAGAAAATTTTTGGCTGATCTGCTGGTTCTTGTGTTTTTAAATATAATTACGGCTTTTTATTTTATTAAAAACGAATTATTCCAATATATTGAGTGATAATAATAGTTGTCTAACTATTTTATTGGTTATAAATGTCGTGATATTAGGTTGTGATAAATAATTTTACGAGTGTGTACGGTTATAGTGAAAATGTTTATTACCTTCAATTCAACAAGAGCACGTGGAAGAACGACCCCCTCTATTTCGGACACCGGATATCCTACGTAAATTGTATCATTTTCCTTTCCGTTGAATTTTGGTGAATTATCATTAATATCATTGACGATAAGGTTCACGAAGCTTCGTCTGGCATTATATAAAATGGTGTCAGTCAGGACCCATTTATTAGGACCGTAGTCGTAAGAATAGAGGTACGAGCTATCGTCTGCGTCTAATGAACGCTTAGCGAAGGCCGGCACTTCATCACTGTCGCACTTAAGTGTTAATTCAACTTGAATCTGAGACAGAGTCATGAAAGCAATTGATTTGTCCTCTCGGTCAATGGGCTTTGTATGCAATCCGTTACTTTCGATATATAACCAGGATTGATCTTCGGGGAAGACGTTTGTCAATGAGTACTGACAACCCTCATGTTCAGTTTCATTTAAGACAACCAAATTATAATGAGCTTCTTCTTCAACTCTTTCAATAACTATCAAAGGTGACAGGCCAACCTCACCCCCGCAATCTGGTAGAGCGTCAACACGCAATAGCACCTGTTTTAAAAAACACTAATTTTATCATCTAAATTGTAATAGATATATAATTACTATTGAATTTATCGTTAAAAAATTAAAGAATAATATTTTGAATTAAATTTTCATTATTAATATGGACAATTTTTTTTAAATGGAAACTCATTAAGTCACAAAATAATACATGATCAATCATGAATTAATTCCAAAAATAAGAGTAACCATTGTCGGTAAAGCTTTATGAATGAAAACAGAATTATTTATAATAATTTTGGTGAATAAAAGTTATGTCTGCCGTGATCATATTATAAACTCACTGATGCTGTAGCTTCAACTTTGCTTTGAACCGAAGTTGCTTTAACATTGAAATTATATATTCCCTTCTCGGCGACGTTTGTCAACTGTAATACTCCATTACTTTCATCTATATTAAGCCGAGATGCTATGTGATCTGAAAGGTTCAATAGAATGAAATAAATAATACCGTCAAAATAAGATGTATTTCTTCATATTTATAGACTTTATTAAAGATATATATAACTCATAATTTTGTTTAAATTTGGGTGATAGAAGTTGCATTATTTTGATTATAAATTGTCCTTAAATCTTTAGAAAATATATGTATATAATTATATACACATATTTGTGTACAGTAAACGAATTTTCCCAATTAGAGACCCTTGTAATACATAAAGGTAATGTAAGGGACACAGATATTTCCGCAAGCTTTCAAAAAATATAATGAATGTAAGTGGTAAGATATAATTTATGGAATATTCACAAAAAAAAATAAAGTACTGTATATTAACAATTATCGATACGTATAAGTGCTCATCAGTATATTATAAATGAGTAAGTTGTTCAAGAAATGTTTAAAATATATAAAATTGAAGTGTATTTCTAGTTGTGACTGAAAAACCCTTGGTAAATTACGATTAAAATATTTGTTTCATCATCATAAATTTAAAAAAATCCAGTTCTAATAAAGAATACTTTCAGTAAATTCTATCTTTTTTTCATTGATGTATATTAATTGTTTCTTTGAAATCAGAATTTTAATATCAAACTGTAGAGCTATGAAGAATTAGAAATACTATTAAATTGAGATGGTAGTGTTAACAAAATCAAATGATAATTTAAAAAAACTCGTACTTGTTTCATTTATTACTCAATTTTTTTTTATATCTGTGACACTTGTTGTGTCTAGACGAATCTAATAACATTTTATTAGCTGGTAGCGATCAAAACGTCTAGGCTGCAGTTTGTGTTGACAAAAAATACATATACTTATATGGGTACATAATTTTAAATTGTTTTAAAGTTGTATTGAATTTAAAATAATAGATAAGTTCTCTTATAACAAATAATATATAAATTGATGATAAGTTATATTAAGGAATTTATCATATTATTTATGTTTAATAACCAGTCACGAAAACTTTTTCATCTTGCCTCTTCATATAATAAGAATGTACATGTTTAGGAAAATATTTGGACAGTCGGTTATATTAAAATGAAATAATAACGGTATTTATATTGGCGTATTAAACCGGTAATAAAAACTTTTTTAAATAAAATTATTTATATGTATATACAGCCTATAAAAAATTTATTACCAATTATATTCTTAACTATTTCATTATTAAAGTATATGTATTATATCCACGACTTTATTCATTTAATCATCATTATGTTCAGAAATATTAAAGTATTATGATTTATTATACATATATCTTAATTAAGATTACTTTAAGATTTCTGACGTAGGTGACATTGTAAATTTAAATGGCAAAGGTAAGTAATTATTCACCGGCGAATTAAATGGAGGAAATATATTGATTATTATATTTAAATAAAGTTGAAATAAGAATTTTAATCGCTAGCATTAAAAAGCCTCATCGTTTTTCGTCCAGTTGTTTTAAGCATGATAAAGTATTTTGCTGGAAATTTTATTCAGGCGTTAATCAGTCAGGACTTATGAAATACTACAAAAGATATATAATTAAGTGCGGAAGTTTCTAAGTAAGGTTGAATATAGGGATATTCTTTGCACATACATGAAAAAGTAGTCTGTGGTTCGTCCTAAAATGAAAAATGTTTGTTTCAGCATAAGCATCTAATTAGCAAGGCACAAAAGGTACTGCTATTTTCAAAAATAATTTTCGATATTTAAATTTAAAAAAAAAATGTTTTTTTTTTATTCCTTTTCCTTGTCGCTACTTTTAAAGAAAGAAATGAACTATCATAATGGATTAAAAACAATAGGGACTGAAGATTTATTGGCTCATAATATATTTGCTCCATCGCCAATACATGTATAGTGAAGAGTAACTTAAAGCTTTTAATTACATTTTCATTAGTATGAGTGAGCTTACATCATTTGCTATTAATAATTGATACTGATAATTGCTGTGTTAAAACAATAAACTACAATCTATACCACTTTGAATAAAGTAGAAAAAAATTACTTACTTATTACTATTAATATAATAAATTGGATTTCGTTAATACTATAAATACGTTTTGCTTAAAATATGTCGAAGTAATTCATAGAAATTGTTTAACAATTTGTTGTTTTTTTGAAATGAAATATTGATATAAAAACATTTCTAAAAAATACCCATTTGAAAAACACTTAGAATAGGTTTATTATACCACTGGTTAGATGTGCTAACTCTATCGAAAACATTCTGTTAGGGAATTGATATTCCTGCATAATTTCCTTAGTTTAAAATGCTTTAAAAATCTTCAGTCAGATTGACGAAGTAATATGTAAATAATTTTAACGAGAGTAGGAAATAAAAATAATCATTGTTTGCGTGTCCTAAAATCTTTGCTGTTTACATTTTTGTAGATTTCGTCATAAACCTAAATAATTCTTTATAAATAAATAAATAATTTTAATTAAAATAAATAATTCTAATTAAAATCTCTTCAAAAATATATAAAATGTTGCTATAATCATGTTATATGCATGATAATTTTCATACATTTAGTAAACGTACCATTAGTAACATGCAAGGAGTATGTGACAGCTTCATCATTATCAACCGTTGCTTCCACCCTTCCAATTTCCCCCGTCTGTTTGACATCAGCCCAAAAGAAGTAGGATTGTGATTTAAATGATATCTTTGGTAGATCCGGGTTCTCTGTAATGAATATAAAATAGCTATAAACTTATTTTCTTTATTACTTATTGTCTTTATCCTGAGTATGTTCACTATCACAAGTGTTTATTGGAATATTTCTAATAGATAATAATTAATATGTTATGAAACGTGACAAATAATACTCGTCTATAAATGATGCAGCAAATGCACCATTAATACATAAATATGTATTTTTAGATTTTATTAAACAACTTCATTGAATATTTAAGTCGTTCTCTGCCTTGCTTTATAGAGATAAAATAATTTTCAATTGAAAAATAATTTATATAGAAATAATAAAAATATATACAAGACAACGTTGAATAAAAAACATTCTTAAACAATATTATTGATGACTGGATTACTTTATCTTTTTATCGCATTAAAAGTAAGTTGATAAGAAAATTATTAAATATGTATACAATAACAACATTCTGTTAACATAGGACAAATTTCAGTATAAATATATTGAAAAAGAAAAAAATAAGTCGTATAAAATATATAATTGCTTTTAATTTATGCAATTAATTGCATCTTCATCATTTTAGTTTCTTTTTATATATAGTTTTCGTTTGTTAATAAATACATAAATGGAATTACAGATAAAATTATTTCATATTATATACATAAAAAATAAAAATATAGACTTTATTCTGAAACTAATTTGAGGATATATAATTATTACTTCATGAAATATATTTTAAGGAAAATTGTTGCTGGGAAAAAAGTTTATGTTAATGTTTGCAAACTTTTTCACTTATCCCTACGTCAAATTTAAGAAATTCGTGGTGAGTTCAGAAAACTAATTACTAAAATTGTACTATGAATAATTGATAAAAACCACTTCATACGTACCTGAAAAACTGACATCTATTAAAAGTACTGACTTCGCACTCCCTGCTTGTAATTCAAGTGCTATGTGAGTAAGCTCTCTTGGAAATTCGGACGAAGACGTTGTTGTGACTTTCACAAAGCCGTTCATTAATTCCGCTTCAAAAAGTCTTGAGTTTTCTTGAAAAGAAAAACACCGAATAAAAAGAAATGCTTCCTTTTCGGCTTTAATAAAAATAATATTCCTACACTTACCACCCGTTATTAAAATATTTGTTCCACTGAATCCTGTCAATGTTATGGTTTCGTGTGAAAGAATGCCATCCTCTAGTTTCCCATTGTAAAGAATTTTATCAAAGTAAACACTCGTCTCCGGAGATCCTGAAACATATTAAGGAATTTTAACAACCGTATTGACCTCGTGACTGCTAAACTAAACTTAACTCTAAATTAATCTAACGAACGAAAACCACATATTTATTTAATAATTCCTAAAACCACGTCTGTTATTCTTCATTGCTCAAAGTTAAATATATTTATGTATCATAGAAAGATAAGATAACATATTATCAATATTAGCAATGTTTATTTTTTTCCCTACTTACGTAAAAAAAAAGTTTCTTTGTTTAGAACTATGGTGGAAGTAGCAATGAAACGAGTTAAATTCTATAAATATACCAATATGTACTGAATTAAACTGGGAATTTTAATGGAATGATGCGTCTTATTTTAGTTTATTAAGGGCAGGGAAAATATTTTCCTTGTATAATAATTGAGTGCATGAACTTATAAGATGTTAATAAAGAAATTTGCATATATATTGCAAAAATAGCCATGTCAGTAATGTGAAGAACTTGTAAATCCTTTTTCATACCTGATACATCATTTAGATTCTCAGATAAGTAGAGAATTTCTATTACTTCTGTATATTTAAATTATTATTAATCATAACCTACTGGAAACAGACTTTAGTATGGAGTAAGTATGGTGGGAGGATAAAGGTAACATGAAATGACCTCAGTAGAACAGCAGAATTCAAAATGTCAGTTCTAGTGGCTCAATGTTTCGCTCGAGTAAAAATATTTATATGACTTTTATAATCAGCTGTACAGGCTTTAATCATCAAAATTATCGTACACATATTTATGCCATACTAAAATACTTACATTCAAATTTAATGCGTTGCATGTCTTGCCAATATCGGTATCTCAATATTCATCTCATTTAACAGTAATAAGATTTAAACATAATTAATGAAGATTTTTGTTCCGCATCGTACTGTCGTAAAACCACACCACACTTACTTAATTTTAATTATTATTGTATGCAAGTTTATATCAGTACCTGTTATAGAAATAAATATTGCAGCGCTTCCTTGCTTAGAGTTTGGTTTGAGTGCTATAACGGAGAATAATAAATAATTTCTCTCATGTATTTCACTTAAGCTTCCATTTAATGCCAGTGTAAAATTATTTAAGTCTCTCTCTACTAACGCAAAGCCCTTCGAGTCTTCTGCAAAGATAATTTCGGTAAAACAGTTTTCTTTCGACTAATTGATAAGTTTTAGACTAAAACAATATTTGCATTTTATTTCATATATACTTACCTCTATCAAGTGAAAATTTGACAATTTCGTCATAACCTTGGATGAGAGTTATAGTAGATAAGAATAAAAGTCCTGTATCCTTAGAATACTGTCCAGTGTAATAGGCTTCGCTAAATACTGGGGTGATATTTTTATACTGTTGGTCCTTTATTATATTCAATACGGCAGTGGTATGTCCACTTATAGATCCGACTTCAAACGCATTTATATTGAGAACTAAAAAGTCATTATTTTCAAACACTTCTGGTGGTGCGTCCACGATGTCAATCTGTATAAATTCAGTCTGCTTAGATATTGTAAAATACGAGGCGTATTCTGAAAATTATATAAATTTCTATATCATTATATAAGCTTTTGAGTTAATAAATAAGAACTAAACATATTAATTATTACCACCTCCAGTTATATTGAATTCCATTGATGACGTAATTTCAGTCTTGAGACGAATCTCTTCTATTTCTATTACCCCGCTCTCTATACTTCCCAAATAGCTGACCCGTTCAAATTGAAGTATTCTGACACTGCTATTTTCTGTTAGGATATTAGAAATATTTAACATTATTATATATCGTTTATTTAAGGAAAAAGAGTTTAGGTCCAATAAGGTCACATTATGTTACCTTTTGGTATATCTATATATATAACTGCTCTCCCATCAATCGTCTGTGGTTTTCTGGCAAAAATTGTGATTAAAAATTGCTTATTTTTTTCTGTGACGTCCTCTGGTATAGGATTTGAAGTGTTTAATTTTAAAATTACAGAATTGCCATTTAGTTCCAACACAAACCACTGTGAATACTCTAGAATATATTTTAATGATTTAAATTAAAATATTTTTCTCCACTATATACATATATACTGGTATATACATATATATTAGAAAATGTTACCTTTTTCTAAACTAAATTCTACAGTACCATCAAAACCTTCCTGTAATGATATTACTTGTTCAAATACTAATCCACCGTCTTTAGTGTAACTGCCGTTATAAAATGCTTGTTCAAATATAGGAGTAAGAATGTTAGTTTTATTGATATACACCACTACTACTGTTGTTGCAGGAACAGTCCTTTTTCTTATTGCTTTAACTTCTAAAGTAATAAAATTCTGTGTTTCGATTTCCTCCAATGATACATTACTCTTTAGCATTACTGTGACAACATTGCTTGAATAATTTAAAAAAAAATTTTCTGAATATTCTGAAAATATAAAATTGACGTAAAACGTAATTAATTATTTTATCGAATGTATTGCACTTTCTTATAAATAAAGAAGTTGAATTTACTACAATTATGATAACAAAATGTTTGTAAATCATATACTGTTTTAATTAATTACTTATTGTAGAACTAATTACCTCCGCTTAGAATAAATATTGTTTGTGGCGTGTAACCATATTCAAGTATTATATCTTCTACTTGAAGGACGCCCTCTTTTAAAGAGCCCCTATAAGCATTTTGGGTAAAATTCAATACGCCTAGTTCTGTCATCTCTGAAATAGTAAATAAAATTTAATGCATATAAAAGTATTTGGCAAACGCTTATATTTTGAATATGTAAATATGGCAATTTATATATTTGTCTTTCTTATGAGTGCAGTAATGTATTTAAATAAACTAATTACTAGATGCTTCTAAATATTAAATACATTTTCTAAAGACAAACCTGGTGGAAATGTTATATACACTGCTGCATTTGCTCCAACTGTTAGGGGCTTTCGAGCCACAACATTTAATATGATAACCTTTTCATTAAATATAATATCTTCTGGTATAGTGGAGTTCACAACGAGTTTTATTGTGTTGAGACTAGTTTCTAAACTAAAGAATTCTCTGTGGACTGAAATGCATTAAAAATATTATTTGATAAATTCAATAACATATATAGAAAATAGATTTTTTCTCATTAAAATTTTCAATCCACTTACCACCCATCAATTCAAATGTGACAGTTTCATCGAAACCTTGGATCAATGTCATATTGACGGCACTTAATTGATTGTTCTCGTACGTTACAGAATAGATCTGCTCGTTAAAAACGGGAGTTAGATAGTCTTCTTTTATTATTCGAATGACGATATTTGTTGAAGTTGTAATAGCTTTCATTCCGAATGCAACGAGAGTCAATACAATAAAGTCGTTCTCCAATACAACTGTCTCCGGCAATTCCGTTGTTACGAAGACAGTTAGGATGTTTTGATTGTTACTCACGGAAAAGTGATTTGAAAGTTCTTAAATAAAATAGCAGTTAGAGACGGTTTTGTTTTATATTAATAAAAACAATACTTATAAACTCACCGCCAGTTAAGGTAAAATTTAAGTCTGGGCCGTATCCATCAGTTAAAATAATGTTATTGAGTGTTAAATTTTTCTTTTCTATTGTTCCGATATACAAATCCTTTTCGAAAACCAAAGATCGAGCTGAAAGGGGATGTTAACAAAATATCTAAACAAATTAAATGACTTACCTTCAAATTTAAATAATTATGTAACAATATGTGGTTTTCGTTCTGAATTTGTTTTGTACTACTAATACTTAAAAATAATCACAATGAAATAATGAATGTATATACAGTATATATATGGTATATAAGTATATGGTATGTATGGTATAAATAACTTTATTCACTACCTACTAATAAACAACAAAGTAGATGGATTTTCCAGTAACGTTATAATGTCGTATTATTACATTACAGTTGCAAATTTGTGTCATATAGTATCATAAATAATGTAATACAAATGAGGTTCAAATATTATTAACATTATAAGTGTTAAAATAGATCATGATGCCATTGATCGCATTTGTTATTTTCAACATATTTGAAAATAACAAATGCGATCATAATCTATAGCAAATTGCAACAGATGAAAATATTTTAGGTACTTTATATTTTGTAAACACATATTAAAGTATGATTAAAAAATATATACTATACCTGATGGAACCGCTATATTGATTGTAGCATGTGCTCCCACTGTTCTTGGTTTATCAGCAACTATGCTTAAAATAATATTCGTTTTCAGCAATTCTTCAGGTATAGCCAACGGTTCAAGTCTTATTCTTGCTCCATCTTGCGATATATTGAAGAATGTAAAGTATTCTAAAAACACAAGATAATCTTAGTGATTGTATGTTTTTATTGAAGAATAATATTTTGAATTCAGTATAAGAAGTAAGCATAATATAGTTTAACTTGCCTCCTTCTAGTGTTAGCTTGACTGTTTCATCGAAACCTTGAATTAATACAATATCTTCCATAATAAGTCCCGTTTCATTGCTGTAACTACCATTATATATAAATTTCTCAAATACTGGAGTTATGTAATCTTCTTTTATGATTTCTAATACTACTGCAGTTGTTGCCGTAGTGCGGTTATTTGAGGCCAATACTTCCAAACCAATAAAATTATTATTCTTAATAACATCCTCTGTCAAAGGATCCATTGATAATTTTATGATATTCGATAAAACAGTCGCTCTGAAAGAGTATTCTGTAAAGATATTTCAATTGAATTAGAATAAATTATGTACAAACATATTTATACTTCAAAATCTTTGCTACTCACCACTGCTTATTTCTATTGTTATATTGGAATCTTCGTACCCTTGTTTTAATATTAAATCTGTGAGCAGTAGTACGTTATCAGTAATTGTTCCTTTATAAATGCCTTTCTCAAATTCTAACTTAGTATCTGTGAAACAAAAGCAAGGCTTACTCCACTTAAGCTTAGATTAAGAGGATTAGAATTATATTAATACGAATGAAAAATAAATAAAAAAATTCTTACCTATTGGTAGTTTTAAAATAACCGTAGCAGTGGCACCACTAGTGTATTCTCTTTCTGCTTTTACAACTATATATATTTGTTTTTCTTCATACATTTCCATTGGTATTGATTTATTCATATTAAACTGAACTTTATTATCATCTATCAGAATATTGAAATATTCAGAATAATCTAAAAATAGACAATGATAAAAAAATGTATTTATAATAGTTAAATAAATAGTATTTTGTATAACAAAAACCATTCCACACTAACCGCTATCAAAACTGAATTTAACTTGATCGTCATATCCCTGTTCTAAGTAAATAGTATCTTGTAATACGAAATCGCTTTCCCGATCATATGATGCCAAATAAAAAGGTCGTGAAAATCTTGGTTCATAAGGAAATTGAAATTGATTGTCTGCTTTGATGATAACCGTCGTAGTATTTGATCTTGCCGGATCGCTAGTTTCGTCAACATCCTATAAAAGATAAAGATCATTTTGTTTTCTAAATAGTTTCTTTTTATTTATGGTAATAGATTGATGAAAAACAAAAAAAAATTGATACAACTATTGGAAATGTTTTAAAAATATTTTCTACTATATGTATCTATTTCCAAGTCGCTATTTAGAAATGTAGAACATTAGTATAGCTTGATATAATTATATTTTATGAATTTAACTATGTGGATGAACACTTTACTAACATGGATTTTAATTAGTAAAAGTTTTTTTTGTATGGAAAATTAATGGCTAACTTTTAAATAAAAAATTTATAATACAATGACACTCGTACAGCGATTAAATCAATATAGTACAATATAGTATATATATAGTATAGTATACATATGTTACCGTGGCAGTCAAAGTCAATGTTATTTGCTCGGGTATATATCTTATCAAAGTAGTCGTTCTGAGTATCGACTTAAATTCTTTGGGAACTGTAGAAGATGGGTCGTAAGATATTTCAAAGAGATCGCTTCCATCCAGTTTAAAATCAATCCTTTGAGTGGTAAGATCTATATCTCTGACAACAATGTCATTTTCACAGTTGGTGACCATGAATCCAGGCGGGACTGGTAGAACGATGTTAAACTCGTATTCCGGTTGCAGAAATATAGGGTCGTTGTTGTTTGTATCTATTATGTTTACAATCAAAACCTGTTAAAATAATTAAAAAAGGTATTTATTAGAAGTAGTTTTGTGCAATAATATAAGTTTTATTTACAGAAATGTTCCGTGTCACAGTGGCATAATGGATATACTTTCAAGGTGTTTGAATTCAAAGTGTCGGACTGGCTCATCCACAACATACGAGCCTTTTGTAGACATTTAAAGTTTGTTATTAAGAGATTATACTTTCAAGGTCGCATATATCGTTTTATATGCAGTAAAAGTAAATTGTCCCACCCAGGACTTTCAGCACCGAATTTCAAGGTCAGATCCAATCTCTTTCCTTTCCCGATAACGTTATCACAGCCAATTAGGCTAGCAGTATTAGACAAATCGAAATAGAATTAGGGAGTTATATATATTTTTAATTAATCGTCTATCATTGCACATCATCACATAGATTAATACTATCTTATTAATCTAATATTTTTTTCCTTTTACCTTTCTAAGAAAGCACTATCAATGAACGGTAAGTTTTTATAAGACCTGCACATTCTTGGATTAATTATTATTATATTAATAGATTATTAAACTTACAAAACTCAATCGCGAACCACTTGTACATCTTAAATTTACTGTGTATCTCATAGTCCTTTCGGTTTCAACTTCTTCATAATTGGCAAAGTTGTCATTGGTACCGATAGTAAGCACTGAGTTATTTAGGAAAATATTAAGATACGGTCCTTCCCTTAGACCTTCATTTTGTATTAAAGAAATGGGTTCTGTAATAAAACAGTATCCTCAATAACTGTATCTCATTTGTCAAGTCACAACGTACACAGAACAAAGACCTTACCTTGAATATCTTGAGTAGCACTTGAAAAAAATATGCCTCTAAATGTGTCTTTGATTTCTCTTGTTACAGGAACGCTCTGGTCTACGCCTTCTACTGTGCAAGCTGAAATTTGTAAAGCAAAATATGTATTTAAAAAAATAGTTGTAGAATATCACGCGAATTTCACAGACACATTGTATAGACGTGTGTTAAACAATCCTATATAGTTGTGTTCAATCAAAACTTAATAAATATATACACTTTTTTATTAATGGTCTTTGTATTTTGTTTTTTTTTAGTTCTTAATTAATTTTGATATGTACCTACACCAATATTTTCGAACGTTTATAAGTGAATTCAGATACCTGCTATGTTTTTTGTTACGTCCTGTTTGAATAAATGTTTTAAAAAATTAAAATGAAACTAATATTTTTCGGATTATATACTACGCGACTTTATTTTCAGCAACTCTGATGACAGTTGCTGAAAAGTAGCCGAAATGTCGGTAGTATGAAGTTTTTACAAAAATAACGTCATGGGTCTGCTTTGTCTATTACTTTCTCTGTTTCCCTTGTTTATTAAAGATCGGGTTTTTATTTATTTTTCATGTTTTTTGTTTAATTATGTTCCTATAATTTACGTATTTTTTATTTAGTTTTAATATGTTACGCAGTGGATGCTTGTAACTTTTCTATATCTACATATAAAATACTACAAAATATTTGAGTAAAATTAAATGCTTAGTATCTTACGAAACTATTATCTTTTTTGTATGTTTATATTGCTTGTTCTTAAATGAGGGAGGGACTTACTTGGCATAGATTGATATTTAACAACTATTTTAAGGGCTTAACATCAGTACTCATTACCTTATAGAAACATTTAAGAACTGATATGATGATGATTCACTTTTACCCAATGAAATGGATCGAATCGAATAACAATCCAGCATACTCGTTGGTAAATATAATTTTATATACAAACCAATAATACAAGATATAGATACAACGATATAAATTTTAGCCAGTGCTTACTACGTCTTATATTCTTGTTCAGACTTAGGTATACTCAACGCACACAAATACATACACGATTACAGGAATAAATGTATATTTTTTTATTGTATAATATATTTTTATTGTGTTTACGATAGCCAAATTTTATGCAAAACGTTGTCATATTACTACTACTTCTATCTATAAGTATCGTTAAAAAACTATTACGATTTTTGTCATACTTTTCAATGAAACTCGAATGCATCATACGGTTCTAGTGCTATTTATAAATTCTTGTAATATTTTTCTATATATTTTTTAAACAGTAAAAAGTACATTTATTTTTTTGATACATATATTGTTATATATTAATTTTGCTAAGCTTCTGATTTCTCATTAAACTAACTAGTTTATAATGTAATCTGGTCATAGGAAACATATGGTAACTGTTGTGTATATAAATTAATTTGTCACTATCCGTATTACTTTCAAAAAGGTTGCTCAAAATGCTTCACGGTGTATTTTTTTCTCTTTCATATCATCTTCCTTAATTGTTATTTTAATGTGTTTTTAAATACCATTTGATAATTTTCATTAAATGTTATGAAATAATAGAAGAGTACATTTAAGTTCTTGTGTTATGTCGTCATACGTTTCATTGTTATCATTTTAATGGATGAATTTGATTATTAATTCCATATTTCTTGTATTGAACTTGTTTACAATAATTTGGCTTTATTAATAAATAAAAATTTACAGAATATACAGTTCTTATTCGACAAAGTTGATAATATATTTAATGATAATTATTATAGGTAATGAACTTGTATGAGTTTTATAATGAAGAGGCGATTTTATTACGCTTTGGATTTAGCTATTAAAATCTGATTATAATCTAACGATGGGTATGCATACCATAACTGTGATGTAAAAATCCAGATCCTAAGAATATCAGTATAACTCTATAAGCTTGGTTCCACATTTTTTATCACGTTCGTACATCACAGAAGAACTATATAATACACTAGTATTTTCACATCTAATAACTATGAGATCCTTAAACTTTTTAAATAATGTATACAGTGAACAAAGAAAAAACTATAAGGCGTAAAACAACAGCTTCAGATATGATTATACACAAAACTAATTGTCGGTATGTTTTTATCACCTGCACTTATACTGATATAAAATGATGACGATTATTAACTACCAATCTATTGATTCATATCTTTTGCATGGAAAATGATAGTCTTTATCTCTAAATACTTATGTATGATTACAATATAAAAGTATATTTTTAAAATTTTAATACTTAAACAGATTTCTCTAAACAAATGATATATTTAAATGCAGAACCAACTTTGTATGAATAATAAATTGGGTATAACCTTTGTTTTGTTGAAAAGTTAATCTTGCAAAATACAAACTTTTTCTATATAGAATATTTTTTAAATTTATTTAGAAAAAATTTATAATTGAAACACTATGGTGAATTGAAATGGTCTAAGATATACGTTTTGTTAAATATTGTAAGTGATATGTCTGGTCAGTGGTGACCTAGTGGTTAAAAGACCCGCGTCTCATGCATGAGGGCGCGGGTTCGATCCTGGCAAGTACCAATGTGATTTTTCCGAGTCAAATGTACTTTCTAAGAGTATTTAGACGTCACTGATTAATGCATTCCCAAAGAGGGTTAATGTCAGGCCAGCGGCCGGTCTTAAAAACAATTAGCCAAAAATATTCACAACCTACAAGGCAGACCCTGGCTAAACCTGGGAAATTGCCAGGTAGAAGAAGAGTGTAAGTGATTTCTTTCAATATCTTCAGGTGTAGGATTTAAACAGCAATAAGACTGACTGATTGACTGGATAAAAACCTCAATAATTACGGATTTATATATGGCTTTATCTTGCGATTTTATTTGTATGAACTTAAGAAATGGTATCTGAAAGAAATTATTAAAGTGTCTTAAAAATAATAGATATAATAACCAACTGGCTCCTATAATATATCTCGTGTTACTTAATTTTATTTGAAAAAAAAATGCTATATGTGCTTTCGCTAGCAATACATGAGTAGAATGGTTTAGTTGTAACCTACACGTTTTTATGATTTATGACCCGTATCATCTACTGTAAAGTATCATAAAAATCAAATGCGTAGTTTTTGTGTGAAAATGTAACAAAAATTCTCAAACAGTTATCTTTTACTTACCCTAGTATGATTTTAAGACATTCGATTCATAGAAATCTATGACACAATTTACAAGAGTCAGTAACAATATGTAAAATGTGAAGTGTTTCCCATACTAAGTAACTACTTTAATTTTTTTTACACACTCGCAAATGATCTGAAAATCAGTTCGCTTATATCAAACATCATATAATAATACAACTGTTTTATATTCACATATTCATAATCCCTTTATTGTCTTCTTATCTATTAGTATTTATTTGTCTGCCTTTCAACCTCTTTATTCCGTGAAGAGCTGGGATCTCTCATAATTAATAAGAGATCCCAGCTCTTAAAATACTTATACGTCGATATTAAAATACTTAACTGGAATATACTATGGTCGGTTAACATCAAAGCAATATTTCTTACATTTATGCTTCTAATAATTTTAAGGGTATGAAATGCTTTAAGAATTGATGCGAAAATAAATGTTGACTTTTTTAACAATACTATATATACCAATTAAATACTATAAGGATTTTTCAGGAATGTTATAAAAATGTCTTAAGAATTTTTACAACTGCTAAATTGCTTTAAGTTTTAGCAAGGCACACTACAAAGGGTGCCTTGCTAAAACAACTAGTTGTCGTTGCTGTGTTTACTTATATATAAATTATTATAAATCTTTTTAAGTACGCTAATTTATACAAAAGAAAAAAAAATTGATTAATTTTTAATAAAACTGAGACCCTCTTAATATTAAATGTTAAGGTTAATTAAAAATTAATTACTGTATAATGATAATATTCTATGGAGCAGCTTACTGAAAAGCCTTAAAAATGTTAAAAAGTAATATTTCCGAGCTTCTGTTTCTATGTAATATATATATATTTTATATAAAAGAAAGTTGTGTTGGTTACACTTTTCATAACTGAAGAACGGCTTTAGCGATATGGTTTGAAAATTGGTGAGGAGGTAACTTAGAACCAGGAAACGATCATAGGGTTTTTAAATCTGTATAATAAAGAAAAAACTTAATAAATTACAATATATGTCAGCTATACATATTTTATTAATTTCGAAATTAACGTTGACTCAGTCATAGCCAAAAACTAGTATATGAATAAAATTTCATTCTTTTATACGTTCCATACTCATGAAACAATTTGCTCTTGTTTCAAAGCACGTAATACTTATATTAATTAATTATTAATTTATTTTAGGTACTTTTACTGTTATTGGTCTTCAAAATTTGACAATGTGATTAAAAACAATTGTCTTAGTACTACATATAATTAAATAAAATATATATATATTAATGAGATCTAAGATTTTCGCGAGTACACATTTAAATGAAACTAATATTTTCGGATTTTACTTCGCGTTTTATTTTAGAAACTACATATATTGTTATATTTTAGTGTAGTTTGAATAAAAATACAAATATATTTTGTTACAACAATAAAAATAATTCAATATAATAAAATTTTAAAGTAGTGAATTTCATAAGAGGCTTTATATGGCACATTTCTCACATGAATAGCAAAGTTGAAGAGAGCTTAATTTTCTTTAGGATATAAAGAAAATCAAGTACTCTAAATCAAATACAACGACAGAAATTTACTTTTCTTTATTGCGATCTTCTATATACAACAATAATATGGCTATTATAAAATATTCCATATAATAATTTGTGAGTAATATATATAGTAATATATCAATTTAGAAATCAAATAATCAAGTTATTAATATTCAAATGCGGTTTAACTGCTAACAGAAACATAATAATTAATTTCTATTTCCAGAACGTTGTTTATCTTATGAATGAAAATCAAAATGATTTTGTTTTCGTTGCATATTCTTTATCAATTTTATTGAAATCAATAATGTGGTCATGCCGTTTAATCTTATCATTCTTATCTCCTTACATTAATTCGGTTCATGTACATATGTATTTTAGTTTATGTATTTTATATGCGGAATTTTTCCATATAATTGAATCCTATTGTTTGAATATTTTTATTATGCCGATTATTAAAGAGATGTTAATTTTAATAGGCACAATATAAACATGACATGGTTTGAATTTCATTAACTATTTTGTACTATCGTATTCGTCTATTGATTGCAATGAAAATATTGTCATTAAAATATTGGTATGTACAAATTATTAATGAATTCTTCTTTTCAATTATTTACTATTATTATGTCATTTTAATGGATTTAATTGAATTAATATATCACCATTCTTCAATATCGTCATTTGATTGTTCGATGCTGCCTTGAGGCTTCTGATTTACTGTAACATTGAGAGATAATAGTTGCTGCATCGGTAAACGTGGTGATAGATTCACCATACTGGCCCATTGTCCAGTGCACAATTCAGGAAACTTCAATTTCTTCAGGAAATGTCCTTCTAAATACCAAGGTGAAATACAAGTCGGTGAATAATCCCATATCTTCATTTCGTTTAAACGAACCCATCTGTAATAATGTAACACATATTATATATATATATTGATACAATTATTATATAGAGATGAGGAATTGCGATATATTTTTTTAATTGTCATGCTTGATAAATCTTCAATAATTTTAATTCAATAACATTAATATCGCTTTACAATAAAAAAGCAAACAAAATATGTGTCATAATTATTATAATTCGATAAGTGTCTTTATTAAACCTCACTAAGACGCAGTTTACTATAAAAACAATTTACTTAGAAATAAGACATTTCACGATGAATCTTTTCAATTAGTAACTCAATACCGCAATCTTTTTGTTTATTCTGTAGGTTGATTTACGAATTGGTGTTTCATTCCTCAAAACGAAAATGGAAAAGCAAAATTGAAATGCTGTATAAATAAATGAAGAAAGATGAATTTTACGATATAGCTTCTTTATAATGTAGTTCCAGCTTTTATTTTTAATTCATATTAGTACTCACGCGGATATGTAGAGGGCGTGACAGTCACAGTGCCAGGGGTTGTTTGAAAGTTTCACATTACCAAGTTTAGGCATGTAATCCAATGTACGAGATGGCATAGATGGAAACATATTACTATCCAAATATCTGTAAACATTGTGCTTATTAATAGAACAAACAGGATAAACATTCTGTTAACAAGAATCAATATTTATTCTTATAAGTCTTATAAATGAATGAGTGATCTGTAATAAACAATTATGTTTCAGCGAGTACTTACAATGTTGTGAGATTCTTTAAATTATAAAACGTCTTAAAATGTACTTCATATATCTGGTTATCGGATAGAATGAGTGTTGTTAGATTTTCCAAACCACGAAAAGCTGAAGCGTTTAGGTATCGCAACTTATTTTTGGACAAGTCAATTTTCTCTAAGTTTGAACAGTTGGCAAATGTGTCGTCTGGAATTTCTGATATTAAATTTCCTTTCAAATCTAAATTTCGAAGCTGACTTAAGCTTTGAAACTCGAGTCCAGTCAACTGAAAGTGAATGAAGAAAAATACAATAATCATTTTCAGACTTCTCTTATAAAAAAGTGATAATTTCAAACACAAAACATAATATCACGATTGCTAATCTGTTCAAAATATATATTTTGTAATCGAGAGCTATCGTTTGACGATATTGCTCCCCTGTTAACTATTATCGTTTCCTTGAGGTTATTGGATCCATTGTCTAAATTTGATATCTACTTAAAACGAAGTTTTTTGTATAAAAATTATAAAATACTTACGCTTACAATATAGTTATTTGATAAATCTAAAAAATTTAAACAATAAAGGCTTCGAAACAGAGCGGTAGGTATGTTCCTCAAATCATTTTTATCAAGCAATAATGTTTCCAAAGAAGAGAGACTTTCAAAAGCATTCTCGGTAATATTAGTAATTTTATTATCTGAAAGTTTCAGTATTTGAAGACGATTTAATATAAATGTTGCATTTTCTATTTGTAAAATTTTATTTCTTGATAAATCAAGAATTAGAAGCGATTTCAGGCCGATAAAAGTATCAGAAGGCATATAAATAATTTGGTTATTCGATAAGTCAATGGTTTCCAAATAAGAGTTGTTAACAAATAATCTTTCTGGAAGGGTGTATAGAAAATTATTTGATAAATCCACATGAAAAAGTCTTTTCGTGTATCGAAAGGCTTCTCCATCAATTTCTTCTAAGTAATTTCTTTGTAGGCGGCTGAAAATATAAAAATAAAATAAGTATAATTGGATGATGAAAAGACGGATAAGTAAATATGATAGTTGAGTATATTATTAATGTTGGGAATTATATAACACCCACATGTGTAATTATATATTCATGTAACGGTTTTAATTCCTATCTCCAAACTTATTTTACAAAGTATATTACATTTCAAACAAATTGTTACTCACAGTATTCGCAAATTAACAAGTGAATCAAAAATTCCAGGAGGCAAGAATTCAACGTGATTATCGAACATATCCAACTCTGTTAAAGAACGCATTCCTTTGAATGTCGTCTTATGTAATGTACGGAGTTTGTTGGTTCCTAGGTCTCTGAAGAAATCAAGAAAGTTTTCACTCGTATGTAACATTGTAAATCATTCTAAATTTAAAATTAGTAGTACATACAAAAGAAAAATAACATTAGTAATAGTAACATTTTATATTGTACGTAGTCATTACATACATAGTATGTAGATCCGCTGGAACGATGAGTTCTGGTGAGAGGGATGTGAGGCCGGCCCTCCAACAATTAAGGGACCGGTGAACTGAATCGCACCTACAGGAACTCTTAGAACATTGTCGCCAGCGTGATTGACTAAAACTTATTGTCCATACTGAGAACGAATTAAACCACAAATTAACGGTTTAAATAAATATTTATATTAAAAAACCCTATACATGGGGAGGATTGTATTAAATTTAACATGCGGATAGAATAGCCCAAGTATTAATAAAATAAAGCGGAGGTGCAGAAGCACAATGTAACTGAACCGCAATTAGAAACTTTATTTTATTTATATTAACATTCTAAACGTTGTATACATAAATTTAACGCATTTAAGTACACATTCTAATTCTAGTGTAACGTAAATATTTAAGGAGATTTCGAATTTAAAATACTTTTTAAAACAATGACTGACTTCTGTATTTGAACTGAATTTGATACACTGTGATCGGTCATAGTAAAATTTGTATAAGTGAAGAAACAGATACTACTTCTTGACTTTGAAAACGATAGTATTACATATTTTAATAAAACGTGTAAAAAACTAAAACGAGTTATCTCTTGTTTTTATTTTAAAAAGTCACTATATTTATATTAATGATTAATAATAAAAATTTGTTTAATGACAAAGCAAACATTCCAATAAACCTATAAATGTTTTTTTATTTGGAATCAATTATAAATTTTAATTTATGACTCTCGTTTAGCATTTATATATTTTGTATATTAGATAATGTTTATTATTATCAAAATGGCAAATAATACTTTATTATATACATTAAATTCTGTAGACATTACCGGGCTGTTCAATTGACTGTAGTCTTCGGTCGAGTTTCCTCCAATGCAAGTCGCTCGTGCAGCCCGTACTAATTGTTTGTCCCGGTTTGGGATTGTTACTGAATACATCCAAGACATCGCACGGTGAAAGATTGCAATCCGCTTTGGAAGTGACATCAGATGCTGTGAATTTAATGTATGCATTGGAAAATTATGAAAGACCTTTAGAGCTCTCCACACTTAGCCCTAAATAAATGATTTCTAAAAGTTCAGTAATACAATAGAAACGCATTAATACATTTTCACGTATTAACGTATTTTATGTGTGTTAAATGTTAAAAGTCTTTATAATATATTTTATATAAACATAGCTTTGCGTACTTTTTCTCAATACAAATTTTGGAAGTATTAAATTCCAGGTTCGTTTCGACGCATTATCTTGAAAAAGCTGAAATATTTTTGTCTTATCATTGTTATTATGATAAACAATATAACGGTAAGTCTTAATATGTAGTTCTCCATTTATTCTATAAATATAACTTTTAAAACGTTTTGTAGAGAGATTGTTAAGTCACTGTTGTTTTATTATGATAATTATCATCCTTGCTCGATCGAGCGACGTTGTAGAGAAAACGTGTTCTTTTCAAACCTGTCGTATACAATTATGTCTTCATAACTTTATACCCGTTCATTTCACTGGTCACAAAACAATAGAACACAGAACATTCATAATAAAATTAAATTGCAAGTATTGTTCTGATTTTCATTTTTAAACAAAAAGGTTTAGTCTTTTTATTTTCATTCAGGTACGAACCTAAATAATACAAAGTTGGAAGATTCAAAAACCACAACCAGACATGTTTGGCTTTTTTAACAAAGACAAATAAAATTAAACCGATTCCTGCAAACCCAAACCGACTTTTTTGGAAAGGTTTTAATTAGATTTGAATTTTTCGTTTTTCAAAGGTATAAATAAATATATTTAGTGATTCATACATTTTCAAATTATTTATTTCAAGTTTTGTTCCAGAGGCAGTCCTTTGTATTTATACATTTTCAATCCTTTGTCAAATCTAGAAATACGTTCCCAAACATATTCCTATGCTCTTTCTGGTTTGCGAAGGAGCTAAACTAATAAAAAAAAAATATCCCGACTGTATCAATACAAATCTTTCACTGCTTTAAAAATGCGAGAGTTTTAAAAAAATATTTTATATTATTCTTCTCTGACACATATAATAGTTAAAAATATATTGGAATTATTTTGAGATTCATCTCTATCGAATGCAATACTAATACTCAAAAACTTAACTATATTCCAAAACCAAACTAATATAAATTGAGATATTCCTTTTAGTAAAATGTTATACTTTTACCTAAATACTCTGTGAGAGATACATCTTTATCATTTAATATATCTTCGGGTAATTTTTTGCAGTTTCAGATTATTAAATGCATTATATATATCGCAGATACGTATCATATTTAGATTAGATTTAGATTAATAATAAAAAATATTGAAGTACCTTAAAAACAAATAAGAACATTTCTCCACAACAAAATGTATCATGTCAAAGCAAAAATCATGTTTATAAAATATTATTTAAAAACTTTCTTACCTCCTATTTGAAATGTAATTGTCTTTAAAATAACAAATATATGTATAATAAAATGTTGGAAGTCCATAGCGTCAATTCGGTGTACTGATCGCTGGGGAACAAAAGTCCTAAATCGAACTACGGTTATGTTATATTATGTAACATATTATGCAACAATGCAGCACAATTTACATTTTAGTAATATTTCCATAGGAAGAAGATACGTAGAATACACAGTAAGTAATACAATTAATTTGTTTTCGTAATATAATACGATGTTATCGAAAAAAATAAGTAGCTGATGTTGAAGATAAAATAAACAAAAGATGTCTGGGTGGTCAGGTTTCCAAAAATAGAATACTTGAAGTGTTTTTATGAATCTCTTGTTACGCTAAGTAATTGACTCAATAATAAAGTATGTACAATTCAATAACGTGTTAATTTTTTTAGGTACATTTATATAATCAAGTTATCTAATTATTCACATGTAATTATTAGAGATAACGATTTGCACATAACATTATTGTATGCATCATCAATTTATCTGAGTTTATAAAACATCTTATCTTACTTTAAAAAAACCAAGTTATCTATGATTAAAAAAAATCTTCTCTAGCATAGAATTGTATTTTTTTTTTGCTTAAAGAGAATTTTTAATTTAATATTTTCGTGTGTAAATACAGGACCAGAAGTGAATATGGGACTAATATAGTTTTACTTACGGTTTACGTATTTACATGTTAAAGTCAGAGCAAAAGCATTTACATGACTTAGTAATGAACGGATTTAAATACAATTAAAATGGAAGTACGTTACAGAATACATTGAGAAAACTGTGCGTTCCTACATTTTCATTTGAAATTTGTCGAAATGGTATATAATAACTAACTATAAAACAGCGAAATCTCCAAACTTTTGGCCTAAGTATCTATTATCCTCAGGCCTAACATGGTGACAGATTGAAACTATGATAATTCAAGACTTTAGTAGACCAAAATTCTCAGTACGAGTTTGTTTTATGTACGGAGAGAATGACAGTTGCGAAGTTTTCATTCCTAAACCCTATGTTCTCTGTTTATATCAAAAAATTTAAAGTATTATTATTGTAAAATTTGATATTTACGCTAGAAAAAGACATTTATTAAAATAAACTTATAATACGTAAGTAGTATATTGTAACAAAATAATGTAATTAGAAAATCTTTAATTTTAATTAAGAAGCGTGTAATATCTCTTTATTAATGTCTTTTGAATATCAAAGAGAAATTAATAATAATATTCCATAATATATAACAATCTATTTATGACTAAAAACGTAAGTAAACTTTTTAATAAAATATAAATATTGTTGAATACCATCCATAGCTACATATATATTAGTGATCCATAATTAACCAGTTAACTGAATTGATTGCGTCCGTCTATAAGTTCCGACAATTTCCTTATAAATATTCGTACCTATGGTGCCGTGGGGCTTATGATTCAGCAAACTAGATGTATGGCAGCCGTTACAAGGATGAAGGGAATTTTTTTGGAAAGTGCTTATGAAAGAGCTTTATAAATGAAGCGTGTCAAGCTTACACATGAATATTCTGAATCATATTTTGATGATACAATCTCCTTACACAAGAATGGCTTCAATTAAATTTATGTTATATATTTGATAAGACATAAAGGATTAGTGATTCTTCTTTAATATTATGTCTATATAAAGTATTAAGACGGCTTGTTATTAAGTGGACTCGAGAGATACAAGTTTAATTTTATGAGAATATTTTCCGTGCCCGTTTCTTTTACGCTAGGCAATATCACAGAGAAGTATAAATATATATAAATTGTAGACGTCCTATTAATAGTTACGGGTTATTAGAAACGTGACAAAGAAGTTTACTGTCGCTTACTCATTTTTAAGTAATAATTAAAAAGTACAGGTATAATTAATCTCTTCGAATTAATTAGATTTATAAAGTATAAGTGATAAATAAAAAATTTATTAATTTCACCAATAAAAAAAGGAAAAATTTAAATATTTGATAGTTCCGAGCATCCTTAAGGCGTTTTCAATTCTTTTCTGGCTTTATTAGATAAGCAAACTTTTTAGTTAAATAATGAGAAAGTTACAGTCAGAAAAATAGTTATTTCAAAATTTATACCTTTTTTCGTGGAATTCATTTTGACTGTTGGAGGAAGTGGCTCTTTGATCTCCGAGCGAAGATTGTATTATAGTATAGCTAAATAATATTGTGTAAAAATAAATAATTTCTAACGGAGAAATAAAATAAACAAATCCAGAAATCGTATTGTCATAACAAAGATTAAACCTTGATTTTAAAAAGGGAACTTAGGGTTTAAGAATATTTCAGTCCGACTTCTTTTATTCATGCTTTTTTTTAACTTTGGATAGCATAGACAACTCGGTCATATTATATTTATTTCGATATGAAAGAATTATTTCGCAACATATAATCGGCTTTTTGTGGAAATTATTATTTTTTCCCTGACTTCTAAATATAAGTATATAAACAACATCTTTTTTATCGTCATTTAGTTTTGAATGATTTATTTACCGAGCACTTTTCCACATATATATGTACATATATTGTTGGTACAAAACTCATCCCTGCACATATCACACTAAACTGATAAATACTTTATATACTCATTACCAAAATATTGATATAAATCAATTTTAACTTAAAAAGGTCAGTTAGCCACTGACTACAATTTTGTATTTTGTAAATGAAAACTTTATTTTAGGGCTAATGTAATTATTATCAAAAGAACTATATCTAAAAATATAACCGTACTGTCGTTTCTTTATTTTATTTTTAATTATTTAAAATATAAATAACACTAGAATTTGTCTTTATATCTATAACATTTGATAATACGAGTACTTCCATAAAAGAAGTTCTTAATAATCTTTATTTAAACGTTTTAGGATTAAGGGCTTTATGTGTATACAACGTAACCGTCGCCTGGTTGATATTGTTTTTGTACTACAGACAAGAAAAACTAAAAGCAATTCCTCTTTATTATTACTTATAAGATATCATACATCTAATAACGACTGATTCGCAAAATTGTTGGAGTAATAAGTTACGACAGAACAACGCAATTCTTTGGTTTATCTTAAAAGGATTATTTCAACAATTTCTCCTCCTGTAAGAAGGAAATATTTAATATTGTCGAGAATATTTTGTGAGAGAAAATTTAGTTAGGATCGGACATCCTATCACTGGTACGAATTCACAGTGAGACTTAATGTACACGAATTTTCGTCGACGTTATAACTACAATATCGAATATTTCACTTCTTTCTTTTATATGAGAAATAATTCTTAAAGATTAGAAAATTGCTAGACTATGACATGAAATGTAATTATAAGTTTCATTATATCACTAACACAAACGTAGGGAATCCTAAGTAACGTCTAGCGTAAGCTTATTAATTGTAAACAAATTAATGTTTCATTGTTTTGAAGATTTGAGTAAATCTTATCGTACATACATACGTACATATGAAAGTACCTTTTCATGAGATTGAAATGATTTTAAACAAGATAATAACTACTTATTTGCAAAGGTAATTTGGCAAAGTTTAAAGGATGAATATTAATTGGCTTCCCTTTCCTTCTTAAGCACCACACTAAATTTCGAAACAAGTAGAAGTTATTCCTGCGCCTTCATTTCTTTACAGAAGTTTTTAAATTTTCTGCAGAACCGGACATACATTTAAATAATAACTAAAGAAGTCTTAAAAATATTAGAATAAATATTAAAAATATCTTTATCATCTAGAAGAGAATTAAATGGAAGTTAAAGTATGAGAAAATATCATAACTAATTACAGAGATCCTTCAGCTAGAAGTTATCTAGATATACTTCTTAGCAGCACTTATGAACTTATAAATGGGTAAAGTTTCATAGTGCTGGATCGCGGATAAGTCAATAATTCAAGAGCATAGTACGTAATTGTATAGAAAATATTATATCCGTACAATTCTATCAGGCGTTTTCAAATGTCGCTAAATATATACATTCCACGTTACAGTACAAAATTGTAGTCAAATTTATAATTTTTGTGTTAAGTTTACAATTAATTAATTAATTTGAAACCTGGAATAAAGAGCACAATAAAATCACCGTCACATTATTTGTTCTAAAAAGTTTATTTAATATAATATTTTCGGTAAAATATGAACTATCATCTATATCTGTATCATGTGTGGCAAATTCTTATTAAATTGACTTATGTTCAAGGCATTATACGAAAATAAATAATTTTATTGAAATCGGAAAACAAAATATTATATATCTATAAAATTACTGAATAGAACTTATGATTATTTTGAAAGGATGATCTGAAATACATATATACATACATAAGTTCTTACATGCAAGAAATACGGAAGATATAATTTTCGCTGACTTTAAAATAAATAATTAGCTTAAACCATAATAAATTTAAATTATCCAACAGAAATTACGAACACTTAATTTTAATAATTGGGCTTTTACCTACACCACAATTTAGCTTGAGCACTTGTCGTATTTCTTTAAAACTGCTGTAATTAGTTATTTTGGTACAAATGGTTGTTAACGATACTTTAAAGCTAATTAAAGTGGCGTACGCTGTGACTGTATTTTTTTCATGATCTATGTTAGTACAGGGTTGGTTTAGGCGGAGCGCGCATTCGTCTTCGAACGAGCGCGGCGGCTTTACGCCTCTGCAACAACGCTCGCCTGAAACTTTAATACGTTGTATCCTGAAACTCGCTAGTTTTAGGATCATTAAAAGTGTAAGGTGAATAAAATAAAATAGTTACTGACATTAAAAATATATAGTCTATACATTTATAATATTTAAGTATATTTTAAAAAGTAGTTTCAAAGTTTTAAATAAAATTTAGAAATATTGTGTAAATTAGGATACTTTGGATGTGATTAAAATAAAATATCCGCTAAGTGACATATCAAAAAATATACTAAACAAAGTGAAGTGTATGTAAAGAGATAAGTTTACTGAAATAATTTATATACTAAACTGGCAAGGTTGAAAAATTAGTAAATGCGCAATGTCAACTTTGGAAGCGGGGACAAGTGTGTTAATCGTTCAGCAAACAAGCTGTGGCTGTCTTGCTGTGTGCTGCCGGTGTGACCAGTTGTTAGCACAACGAGGAAAGGCCTAGGATAAGGAATAAAGAAAACTTCCTGCAACAGTTTCTACGTATCATCAAAAATGGACACCAGGCAAGTCAACAATATTGTAAAAATAATCCTTTTGTTTCCTATAACAAAACGATAACATGATGTTATTCTCTGGTGTAAATTAGTATCTCACAAGCTCTGGAGATTTATTGAATAGTCGTGACGCGGTAACTACTTGAGAGTTCGATATCTATTTGTTTTGGAACGAACTAAACGCATTTGTGATATGTAAGATACTTTAGAAACGGATTTCCAGATGTATTTTAAGATTTGACCTTAAATTTTAAAAAATCTTGTATCTTCAAAACAATACTTAACAGTTCATTACTATTTTTATACTTGCAAAATATTTTGTTATACTTTAAGTCGTTTATTTGATATTGATTCATTTTCAGTATTCATCTATCCATCAAATAAATCCCTTTGCTTTACACCGTCATACTATTTAAATAAGTCGTAATATTTCCTATCAAGATCTTTAACTATACAAATACATATCTAAACCAAATCTTACATGATTTATTAAAGAAATATTTATATTTTACTGTTTATTGAATACACGTCAACTTTATATTTAAAAAATATTTACTCATGGTCAATATAAATAGTTTTTATAATCATCACTCCGATCAGTTCCTGAAAATCTTATATAAAATAATTTTGTTGTAGTTTATTATGACGTGATAGAGATTTTCTAACAATAGACTGGGAACAGGCTCATATCCTTTGTAGAACTTTAGTAGTTTATTATGAAATACTCTGAGTTTGTCTGATATACAAAATATAACAACAAAGAAAGTACTGCTAATATACGGATAGGGTGGTATTTTTTTAACGTTAAAATAGTATGACTTATTCTTAAGATCTTATACTTTAGGCGTCGAAAATATATGATTGAATTTTACTCAAATGCTTCATAATTTAGTTAATAGTTCCTTTGATAGATTTTAAGACTAACTTTGTACTACCATTAATAACATTCTAATTACTATGTACAGTAGTGCAATGTTTATTCTTCTGTTCAAATCGAGATAAGTGTGATAACCTTATTTGAAAACACCCATGTCTGATAATATGGTTACCTTATTTCACATAAAACTAAAAATGCCTGTTAACTAAAATTGTACAAGGTAAAGTATAAAACAATCGGGTTAGAAATCCTTGTTAATTTATATAAATAAAGTTTTAAGAAAATACCGCAATAAAATAATCAGAATGAAAATTAATTATTTGTTGTAATTATAAATGGTATCGGTTTGAAAATCTGTTAACAAAATTTTAATCTGTATTGGTTCCATACTTTATTAAGCTTCGTTCTGAAAGTGTCAAAAAAATTTGATGGCCTTAATTGTAATAAGCATCATAATGTTTATTTATGGTAGATTGAAAAAAATTTGTCTGTGCGTGATAAAAAAATTCGATGTTTGCCATAAAATTCGTTACTCCGACATCGTACGATAATTATTCTTATTTTTATAAGTATATAATAATAAAATAATTTTTCAAATACTATACTATATTTTAATTATTTAGTCTAGTTTTATAATATAACAAAATGAAGATTTTTTTGCTGTTTTTTTTTTTTACTTTCGAAACAGCAACTCTTTCTCTGTGTCGGGGAAATGTCTCTTTTAAAAGGATTAAAACTTATTTAATTGTATTCTAAGTTAAATTTTAGTCCAGTTTCTAGGTTCATACTTATATTTTACTTGTGAATTAATTAAAACTGTTGATCTCAAAAGATTTTTAAGTCTTTTGCAACACTATAAGCTGGAATATTGCTTATTTTTTTTTTAGAATTATACTTCTGATAAATTAAACCAAAGAAAACTATTACCATATTTTTGAAAATTTCAAAAGTTTTTATCCATTGTGATTGAATACTGATGGAACGCCAGTTATGTAAAGCTATAAATTCTCTCTCCAATCTCATTTGAATTTCGATCGCATTTCCGTTTTGT